TGGACTTTTGCTTGTTTCAGTCTTTGATCACCGTGCCCATATTGGCTGACATATTGTTATTTCTCACAAATAAAATGTTTCCTGTATTTTCTATAAATATTTTTTCATACAAATGATTGAGTTTGACACTTCTACCCATTAGGAAATAAAATGGACAGCAGCTAGTAAGAAAATTGTGGCTTTTACTTTATACTCAGCTTAGTATTGGGCATCTTTTCTTAAGATTAGGGGGAAAATATGTTTGTTTTGTTTTGGTTTTGGTGGCTGGCCAGTGCAGGGATCCAAACCCTTGACCTTGTACAAAGCATTGCTCTAATCAACTGAGCTAACCAGCTAAGGGGGAAAATATGAATATCAGGGTGAGAGAATACTAAATCTTGCCATTTGAATTTCAAAAGTTTTAGTCATCTTAAAGTAACATAACTATATATATTTAAGTCTGATTTACTTTAATTTCAGAATTCAGCACTCTGTTTCTCTCGGGATAAATATAAAGCATTTTAAGTGACATCCAAAGTAAAACCTCTAAGGAAGTTTTGCTATAATTTGCCTTAGTAGTCTGACTCTTGTACATATACTTCAGGCAGATAAATCTAAGAACCAACTGTTCTTAATACTTCCCCTTAAACATACATGCAGCTAATCTGTCAAGTTCTGAGACTTCTACTCTGTGGTAATGTCTCTGTTCCATTTTTCTGTTCAAAGTTATTTTCCTATTCAAAGATGTTTATTAATTCCTGGTGCTCACAGGTAGGTATCTTAACCAGACATTCAGGGCACAGTTTAACCTTTTCAGTTTTATTTCCCATCATCTGTGCTTTAGAATATACAAAAACTACTAAGTATACCCTATACTTGTTTCTTCTCTGCATTTTGTTCACACTATTTTCACCATTCTTAACTGTCGTCCTTATAGTATGGTTAGCTCCATGTGTTAAAAGAATCCTGCCAAGTCAATTGTCAATTCCTTCATGCTTTTTAAATTATGCAAAAAAAAATTATGTTCTATGTACTGTTCTGAAACTTCTTGTACATACCACGTCTTAGTCTTTCTAATCAGTCTGTTATATTTTGTAAAAGCTATGTAATATTATGTGTTTGTAACAGTTTTATTAAGTTTCTAGTTTTTTGTGGGGGGGGGGTTGTTATTACACAAACAATGCTAAAGTAAACTTTTTTTTTTTTTTTTTAAGATGACCGGTAAGGGGATCTTAACCCTTGACTTGGTGTTGTCAGCACCACGCTCTCCCAAGTGAGCTAACCGGCCATCCCTATATAGGGATCCGAACCCGTGGCCTTGGTGTTATCAGCATCATACTCTCCCAAGTGAGCCACGGGCTGGCCCCTAAAGTAAACTTTTATGGTCTGATATCTTTTTATATTTGTGAGATTAATTCCTAGTGGAATTATTGGCTCAAAAGTTACATGCATTTAAGAGGGTGATAGATTCACCAAAATGTACCAGTTTTCACTACCGTTATTAAGTTTTTAAAATGCCTTTCTCTCTCCCCTCACCAGTACTAGGTATTAAGATTTAATACCTGCCTATCTGATAAAATGAAAATGGACTATTACTGTTTTGTGGGGGATGTTTTTGGCAGTTGGCTGGTAAATGGATCCAAACCCTTTACCTTCGTGTTATCAATACCATGCTCTAACCAAGTGAACTAACTGTCCAGCCTGTGGAATATCACTATTTTAACTAGCAGCTTCTTGTGTGAGTGAAGTTGAACATTCCTGGCCACTGGTTTTTCTCTGTCTGCCTGTTTTGTAGGTTATTTATCTTTCTCTCTCATTGGTTTCTCAGTTCTTTACATTTTAATGAAATTCCTCCTTTATTTTATGTTGCAAATATTTGTTCGTAACTTGTTCTTTGTCTTCAACTTTACAGTTTGTGGTATTTTTAACCACTTAAATTCAACTTTTTATGTGTTTATCTTCTTACCTCCTTGGTATATTATAAACTACATAAGGGCCAGGACCAAATCTTAATCATCATTATGAATAATGATTACTCACCTTATGTAGCACCGTGCCCCTTTATAGGTGCTCGGTAAGTAATAGTTGTCATCCCATAGCTGTAGGGAAAAAAATCCTTCCTCTTCTTCCCTGAGACATCTTCTAACGGTTAAACAAGTTGAAAGAGACCAATCACAAGAGTTTGTAATCAACAGTGATAGTTCATTGGCTCCAACAAAAAATCTTAGCATTTTTCATTTGTTTATTTTGATTAAATAAGTTGAATTGAAAGTCCTTGTAGGGCCGAGCCCGTGGCGCACTCGGGAGAGTGCCGCGCTGGGAGCGCAGCAGTGCTCCCGCCGCTGGTTCGGATCCTACATAGGGATGACCGGTGCGCTCACAGCGCTCGCTGGCTGAGTGCGGTGGCTCGCTGGCTGAGTGCAGTGCGGCCGGTCTCAAAAAGGACAAAAAAAAAAAAAAAGAAAGTCCTTGTAATGATCAGGAAGAAGTTTAACAGACATACTTATCACTCACTACACATGCAATGAGCAAATAATATTAAGAACATTTTGATGTGACTTTATCAAAACTCTAAAGCAGTCATACAAAAAGAGAAATAATAGCTAGCTAAGAAAACTAAAAGAATTTTCTTAAACAAACATTTTTTTGTATATAATTTTTTTTACATATAATCTATCAAACTATTAGCTAATCATGGTAGAGAAGGGACTTTCCCCCTCCCACTCCCTTTTCTATTAGAGTGAATCAGATATAATCATGATTGTGTCAAAAGTTCAAAAGGGAAAATGGAAGGTAAAACGAGCTGAATTGGCACTTGTCCCTCAACGTTGTACCTGTAAGCTTGATATGTTGTTTCAGAGATTAACTTTATAGACTTCCGTACCCAGAAGTATGAAAATTCTTAGGGAACTCTTTTCACAAGCTTGATCTTAACATATTGAATAAAGAGAGCAGTTAATCCCTTTTGTAAAGTAATTTGAGAGGAGGGAATTCAAAATGTAAAATCTCACCTGCAGAAAACACTCAACTCTGTAAAGGCCTTTCTATCTTTAGACACTTACAAAGACTTAATATTTTAATGCGGAAGGGTGAACTTGGTTAAAAAGCCAATGGGTGAAATTAGAGAGAAATAATCCAGTGCTTTCTTTCTGGGAATTATCTTGCTCTCCAGGGGACCAAATTTTATTCCATGTGGGGAATGAGAATACCCCTCTGTACAGCAAGCCAGCATCTCTAAATATAAGCTTGACTTTTAGTATAATAAGAGTCTTGTTAGGTGCAATTTTGCTCTTAGTCATTAATACAATGAACAAATGTTGTGGTTACCTGGGAAAGAAAATTCAAGTGCTTTTAAACCTCTTTTAAGATTTGGTTTCATGCTTGAAATCTATATGCTGTTATGCCCAGTAGCATCTGTAGAAGATTCCAAGCTATAAGGTGTACAACATAGAGAAGTTAATACACTTTGGAAAAAATGAGACCACTACAAATGGATTTAAGGTCCTGAATAAAAGGCTTTTCTTTTGCTGAATGACAACTATTTACCAGTGGCATTAAGTTTAACATGTGAGTGGAATTTTTTTAGGAGTGAATTTTACAAGATGGTGATGTCCTTGTACACAAAGTAGGAAGCCATTCTTTTCTTCAGGTGGCTCTTGGCTTTTTTCTTTTCAGCTGTAAAACAGTTTGCAGTTCTACAAGTGCAAAAACTGAATTAGGACAAAATATAATTGTAAGAGAATATACAAGGGTACTTCAAAAACTTGGTGGAAAGATTTGTATTATCTTTTAATTTTGTTTTCCCAAGAATTTTTTGGAATACCCTTGTATAGTATTAAACAGCATTTTTAGTAGAGTATGGCATTGTGTTAGATCATTTCTGTCTTCTACAAACTTTGTGATATTATGCACAGTTTAAACTTTATTATTGATAATAAAATACTGGTATAGTGAAGCCAGTAGTAAACTATTTTTTATTGGATTTGGTAGCATATTTTTTCTTTAAAAAGGATCCAGTAAAAGATAATAGAAAACTTTCTTGTTCTAAGTTTAGAAGATAACAGAAATGGTAACAAGTAACTTTTACAATCTTGTGAAGAACAAAATCTCCGAAATTTTCTCAAGTTCTAATTTAACCTCAAAGTACTTGGCATTACGTTTTAAGTTCTTAAAGTTGCTCTTTTTTTTTTTTGTCCTTTTTGTCTTTTTTTTTTCGTGACCGGCAACAGATTGCAACCCTCAGTGTCGCGCCCGTACCGGACCGGGACCGGCAACGGGATCGCAACCCTCGGCGTTGCGCCCGCACCTCGCTCAGCCAGTGAGCTGCCGGTCTGTATGTGGGATCCAAACCATCGGCGGGAGCGCCGCTGCGCTCCCAAGCAGCACACTGTAGCAGTGCGCCACCGGGCCGGCCCTTAAAGTTGCTCTTTGCCTGTAAACATCTGCATCTGGTCTACTGACCATGACTTAATTTCCTACAAGTGGTAAGAGTGCAGACATGGCATTTTTTAGAAGGCCATTAAGAATAACGCTTTCTTTCTTTCTTTCATTATGCTAGATCTGGTCTAGTCCTAATATCAAAATATTTTGTATTTCACTTAAAAGTGGTTAAGTTCTGTTTCCCCTGTGAGGACTGTATACTGGAGTACTAGCTGAGCTGGATAGCAGTCAGAGCTCGTATTTTCTCACCCCTGTTCAGTTGACATTTTTACAGCTCAACAAAATAATAGGGAAAAAAATGACCTATATTTATGTAAATAACCTCAGCAAAATGACATCCAAAAGCATATGTGTGAAGGTGCATTTTAAAAGTTGTATTCTAGTGTAAATAATATTCTTTTTGTCAACTGGCAAAATTAATTTTGTTACAAGTAAAAGTGTCATCTTAATAACTTAAAGATTTTCTTATCTTAAGGTAACCAGCCTTGCCATTTTGTCAGTTTGACAGATCTATATCCCCCCTCTTTTTTTTGTAGACCCATTAACATGCTTCAACTTATGAGTGACTTTTTTTGTTTCAGACAAATCTTCCTATTTTCAAGCTGAAGGAATCCACTGTTAGAAGAAGATATAGTGACTTTGAGTGGCTGCGAAGTGAATTAGAAAGAGAGAGCAAGGTGAGTAACTTGTAATGCAACTTTAAAGCAAAACATTGCAAGTTTTAATGTTTAAGACTTCTCAGGAATATTATCTTGAATAAAGTGGATAAAAGCAAATATGATTTTTTTTTTTCAAATAGTTTAACTTCATCTTATTTCATGGGAGATGGGAAAGAGTCTTTGTAATTTTTCCTTAGAACTCTTTCTCTTGTCTACTTTAAAGGCCCAATGGCCTTTGCTGACTCACACTTGAATAACACTTCTTAGAACCTTTTTGCTATTGCGTCCTTCCTTTCTATCGTCTTCCTATTCCACCTTTCCCTCTGCACACCCCTTGCCACATTTCTCTTCCTCAATACATCTCATGTCAGTGTATTTCCAATTTTGTTTTACTGATGCATAATAAATACGTTTTTTCATCATTCACACTTATGTACATACGTGTAACAGTAGTTTCATAAAACAATAATAATCACCTTACTCTGTGATACATGCTTATAATTCTTCAGATTAGCTTTTTACATGGTGGCCATGATCCAATAATGGATTGCCACCTGTAATTTGAAAAACACTGTTCAATACCTTGGTAAGAATTGGCTTTTCTTAGAAGAAAATTTGGTGGCTTCAGCTGCAAAATAAATTAGAAGGAGAATTTATTTTGCCTTAACATTTATGAAGCATGTTTAGGGGTCTCACTCTAATGTTCTTATTTCAGCCCTAAGTCAGAATGACAGCAGAGGCATGGAGTCATGGAAGGACATAGTATGCTCAGAATGATGAAAAGTTGTTTTGCGATGAGAAGGTATTAGAAAGAAGTGGGCATGGCAGGAGTCCTGAAATAAGTTAAGGCTAGGTTGTGCTTATTTCTGAAGCATAATAAACTAGAAATGGAGGAAAAACATTTTTTTTTTTTCCTTTTTGTCTTTTTCTGTGTCCGGCAACGGATCGCAACCCTCAGTGTCGCCCCCGTACCGGACCAGGATCGGCAACGGGATCGCAACCCTCGGTGCTGCTCCCGCGCCTCGCTCAGCCAGTGAGCGGGAACCGGTCTGTATGTGGGATCCGAACCCTCGGCGGGAGCGCCGCCGCACTTCCCAAGCTGCGCACTATAGCAGTGCGCCACCGGGCCGGCCCCGGAGGGAAAACATTTTTAACGAGATAAATGTAGCTGGATATGAGAGCACCATACACAAATCATATCATTCCATCAAAAACATAAAGGAAAACCAGTATTACTCAAAAGAATATCAAAATATAAAATACTTATGAGTAAAACTGGGAATATAGAACCCACATAAAGAAAACTCTAAAATTTCACTGAAAATCAAAAGAACACCTCAATAAATAGAAATACTACATTCCTGATTTGGAATATTCACTTTTGAAGATTCATTAATTCTACAAATATTTGAGAGCTCATTCTGTGTGTTGTAGGAATTACAGATAGAGCTGTGAACAAATTAAGGTCACCTCTTTTATGGGGACCCCTTCCATTCTATTAGGTGAGATGGAGAAGTGATGAAGAGAAGGCAGAAAAAAATAGTAAAATATATAGTATGTCAGATGATGGTGTGGTCTTAAAAACAATGTTAAGAGGTTAGCTCACTTGGTTAGAGCATGGTGTTATAACACCAAGGTCAAGGGTTCAGATCCCCATATTGGCCAACCACCAAAAAACAAAACAAAGCAAAAAGTTAAACTAAAGGAAATACAAAGTGCCAGGGTAGCTACTCTCATGGGACCACCAAGAGAAGGCCTCACTCATAGGTGACATTTTTAGCCAAGACCTGAAAGAAGTAAAGGAATGTCTCCTAACTTATTTATAAATTCATAAAATTCTAATAGAAATCTCAGTAGGAGTCTATATAAACTTGCAGATTTATATATGAACTTTAGAATCAGAGAAAGGTCAAGAACAGCCAAAAATCATTTTCAATATATATTGAGGTGTTTGTTCTACATCAGAGTATATCTCTTGGCTATAGTAATTAAAACACTGTGCTGTTGCTTTAGACTTGGGCGATAGATTAGTGGAACATATATGTATTTATAGGGAATTTAGATCATAACAAAAGTAACGTCAATCAGTGGAGAAGGGAATTCAGTAAATGGGTTTGAAACATTTGGCTATTTGGGAGTAAAGATTTATAACTCATGCTATATGAATCGCAGATGGCTAGATCTAAATATGCAAAAGAAGTTAGGAAAGTTTTGGGTACTGAAGAAATTCTTTATGACCATGGGAAAGAATCGTCTTGATAGGCTTTGGGCTTTGCTTAACATAGCACGTGTGGCGTGCACTGGAATGTTTAATAAACATTTGCCAAGTGTATACTTCATTTTTTTTTAAGTTCACTCATTTAGAGTGTACAATTCAATGGTTTTAAGTGTATTTGCAGAGCTGTGCAGTCATCACTACAGTCAGTTTTAGAATATTTTTGTCACACCATAAAAGAAACCCTGTAACCATTAGTCGTCACTACCAGTTCCTCCCCAACCCCTCCTCACCCAGTCCTGGGCAACCACTGATCTACTCTCTGGAAGGACTTGCCTGTTCTGGACTTAGCATATAAACAGAAGCACAGAATGTGTGATCTTTTGTGACTGGCTTTCTTCACTTAGCATGTTTTCAAGGCTCATCCTATTGTTATATGTGTCAATACTTCATTTCTTTTTATTCCTAAATAATACTCTATATTGTGTGGATATACCACATTTTATTTATCCATTCATCATTTGGTGGACATTTGGGTTGTTACTACTTTTTAGCTATTATGAATAATGCTGCTGTGAACATTTGTGCACAGGTTTTTGTCTGGACATACACTTTCATTTCTCTTACCTAGGAATACGATAACTCTTTAACATTTTGAGGAACTGCCAGCCTGTTTTCCAAAGTAGCTGCACCATTTTACATTCCCACCGGCAATGTGCGAGGGTTCCACGTCTCTCCGCATCCTCACCAACACTTGCTGTTACTTGTCATTATCATGGCTATCCTAGTGTTGTGAAGTGGTATCTCATTGTGGTTTTGATTTTCATTTCCCTCATGGCAAATAATGTTGACCATCTTTTCATGTACATATTGGCCATTTATGTATCTTGTTTGGAAACATCTTTATTCATATCCTTTGCCTGTTTAATTGGGTTGTCTTTTTATTATAGAATTGTAGCTGTCCATTATCAGATATTGGAAAAATCTCCCAGTTTGTGGGTTGTTTTTCACTTTCTTGATGGTGTCCTTTGAAGCAGAATATTTCACATTTATCAATAGACCAGTTAAATATCTTGGGAGTTCAACCTATGTGAACATTTTACTCATATTACAGTATTGCTAAGAACAGTATAGTCAAGTTATTTTGTTAGACATTAGTACTTTTAACTAAGATCTGTTAAACTGAGCTAGAAATTAGGTGACATTTTTTGTGTTTAGTAGCCGTATGATTAGATCTTTGAGCTTGTATTCTAGTGTGCTTTGGCTTTAAATATGTTTGCAAGATATCCTCCTGTCTACTTCTTATGTCATGTGCACACACGTCTTTGGATTTATGAATTTTAAGTTGGTGTAAGAATTTTTTTTTGGTGGGTGGGGGGACAGCTGGCCATTACAGGTTTCTGAACTCTTGACCTTGGTGTTACCAGCACCATACTCTTAACTGAGTGAGCTAACTGGCCAGCTGCTAGAATTCTAATTAGATCTTTTCAGACTGCTGAAGGAAAAATAATTTGATGCCAAAGAGGATCTTTGGAATCTTAACTGGACAAGCCATTCATGATTTTTGTAGATCATTAATTCTGTTGCCTATGACCTCACTATTCAGTGAATAATATTTGAATATTATGTTAGGAAGACTTTTTCTCTACATATGATAATACGTAGTAATTTTGTTCTTAGATTTTATGCTAAATTTTACTGGGAGATTCTCAAGCGTGAGAGGGAAGAAAAAAAAGAGAAAGAAAAAAATTCATTATAAATTCTACCCAGAATTAATGGTGGTTATTTATTTAATACACTGGTTCTAGATTCCATTTTTTTTTTTTTTTTTGTCTTTTTTCGTGACCGGCAACGGATCGCAACCCTCAGTGTCACGCCCGTACCGGACCGGGACCGGCCACGGGATCGCAACCCCCGGTGTTGCTCCCGTCCCTCGCTCAGCCAGTGAGCAGCCGATCTGTATGTGGGATCCGAACCCTCGGCGGGAGCGCCACCACGCTTCCCAAGCGGCGCACTATAGCAGTGCGCCACCGGGCCGGCCCAAGATTCCATTTTTTAATAATAGTTTTGTAGATACAGCTACCCTGCCCACCAGATAACCATTCTACTGAAACTCAGTGGTCAGAATTTCTTTGTTTCACTTGTAAAGTCCCTGCAGATTTTAATTCTCAACTTGACAAATGCTAATATAGGAGAGAGATTCAAGAATGCTAAAGCAAACTTAAGGAGCTAAATCCTTAGATGTCTCAGTATTGGTCATCCAGGGAGAGTAAATCTAGGAAGGGATTACAAAATTTATGTTGGGCATTTGCTTCTGTGTTTTTTTTTTTTTTGCTGTTATTTTGTTTTTTGCTATTCTTTATGAAGATGAATTG